CGGGCTGGCTGGCATGTGGTGCTGGGGATTGAACCGCGGTCGCTGTCACTTTTGCTTAGCTTAGCTTGTTGTAAGTAGGTGCTTTAGACCACTGAGCCATCTCACCAGCCCTGTTTAGTGAAATTCTGTATCATTTCTAATTTATTATTATTACTTTGTATTCTATTTTTAAAAAGTTCTTGGATAATCAAGCCAATGAATACAATGGAAAAAATTTCACTTCAAATAACACAAACTCCTTTATCATAATGATTTGATCCATTCCTCTTAAAGACTGAATTTCTTCCTCCCTTATATATCCTAAATACTTTGTTATACTGCGAATGTAGTGTTCATTGTAAATTACAGCAGCAAGAGCAGTGAAGCTGGCACTAGAATGCCTGTTTGTTATTTAATGTCTGCTATATTTACTGTCATTTAGCAACTTTGTCGTTTTACTGCCTTACTGATGGATTTTGTGTTGTTTCCAAGTATGAACCAGTTTGGCACATTATTTGGAAATGCAAAATATGCAATCTTTACAACACTTTAGTGGTATGGAGAAGATAGGATACAACATTTGAGATGGAAAATTTTGGACAAAAGGTCACTGTAAGTCTGAATAAATTAAACTTCCTACAGAGATTCAGTTACTTCATCTGAAAAATACATAATAATGATGTCTCCCCACAAGATTATCTAAGAGTTAAGTGAAATACTGTATGTAAAGGCCCGCAGTTCAGTGTTTGGACAAAGGCAGTTCTTTTTTTTTTAATGTATTTTTTTGGGGGGAAGGGTCTATAGGTTCTCACTACTGGATTGGACTCAGTGATGCGCCTGTTTACAGCCTCCCAAGAGCTGGGATTACCGGCATGCGCCACCATGCCCAGTCTCAATTGCTGTCTCAGTGCATCCTGGGCCGGGGCCCTGACCGCAGGCCCGGGGATGGAACCCCCAACCCCTGCAAAAATGGCGGTTATTAATTAATGTTTTCTGAAGTTGAAATGCGCCCTACACTCCCCGCTCCAAATTCAAACCTGCATATTCTTATTTGTATTTTAAGAAACAGCCCTAAATACACCACTCTACAAAGTCTTTCCAATCAAGTTTGGACAGTGTAGTCAGAGCTTTAAGAGTATTGGGCTTAATGCGTTACTAACTTCACAAAAGTGTAAATAAAGGAACGTTTTGCTGCGAAAAAAAGAGAGGGAAAATATGTATATACAAGAGAATTAGGATATACAGCTACTTTCTCTTAGTTCGATGAGAAGAAAGGTTTGTACTAATTTTATTTAGATGAGATATCATGTCTGCATCTTGTCCTCTGAATAGGTACTACGAAGACAACAATATGCAATGTATTAATTATTGTAACCTTCCTAGTAACCTGTTTGAAACTGCTTCATTGCTATTTTATCTTTTTTTTCCTCATTAAAATAAAAAAGAGTATTAGGCTTAGCCAAGGTATGATAGTGTATATCTCTAATCCCAGAAATCTAGGAAGTTAAGGCACGAGGATCACAAGACAATGTAGCAATTTAGCAAGACTCTGTATCAAAAAATAATATGAAAAATGGATGGCGATGTAGTTCAGTGCAAGGGCTCTGGGTTCTTCCTATAGTGCTGAAAAAAAGAATGTACGGGGCTTTTGGAATCAGAAGACTCCCAGTTTAAAACCACATGTGACATTTAGTAGTTCCATGCTGTTGGAAAACTTCTTTATTCTGTATTTAGATAGTCGTGTTATAGGCTATTGTTAAAGTATATACGTCATAGTGGTGTGCAGGATGGAGATATGCACATGGGACGCTAGCACAGGTTCAGACGCTTACGAGATCCTTCATAAATACTACATAGTAGAAGAAGAAAAAGAAAGTTCTTTCTTTCTTCTTTAGTAAAATGTTAATAAAAATGCTTAGCCTTTCTGGGTTGTATCAAAGTTGTAAATCAAAACGTCTCTTCAACTGTAATACTGAGCAAACAAGGAATTGATATTCATGTGCCTTGAGATTCTGGGCAAAGTTCTAAGCTCACTTTTAGTAAATTGCTTTCCTTTGATCGCTTGCACCGAGTGCAATAATACCATGTTTTAGCTCATAGAAAGTGCAAAGGCACATCGCTCAGACCCGGGGCTCGAGCCGCACCTGCAGAGCGGACGTCCCCAGTCCAGCTCGGCTCTCAGACCCCCTCCCTCGCAGCCGCGCAAGCGTACAGCGAATTGGCTCCGTCTCCCGCGTGCCCCCGCCCTCGCCGGGCCCCCGCCGGCTGCCCAGGACGCAGGCGCGGCTCCACGAGCCTAGTCCCAGCCTCCCTCTCCGCTCTCCCGCCTCAGTTCCCCCTCCTCCTCCTGCACCTCCGCAGGTTCAAACTCTCCTTGCGGAGCGTGGCTGCGATCACGGGGTCACGTGATGAGCATCCTGCTGCCCAACATGGCGGAGTTCGACACCATCTCGGAACTGGAGGAGGAGGAGGAAGAAGCAGCAACGTCGTCGTCGTCGTCGTCGCCGTCGTCGTCGGTGTCTGGGCCCGAAGATGACGAGGAAGATGATGAGGATGAAGAGGAGGTGGAGGAGGAGGAGGACGAAGAGGAAGGGGTAGAGGAGGAGGAGCCGCCCCCGCCGCGGGTCGTGAGCGAGGAGCATCTGCGGAGATATGCCCCCGACCCTGTGCTGGTGCGGGGCGCCGGCCACATCACTGTGTAAGGGGCCGTAGGGTTGGAAAGGCCGAGCTCTGGCTGCAGGGAAAATGGGCAGGGGATGGGGGACCCTGGGGGGATGGGTGATCTAGAGGAGCAGTTAGCGAAGGACACCTGCTCCGAATGGAGCCCGCGGGAGGGAGTAGATGCGAAGGGAGCGAGCAGGATGTGTTGGTGTACCAAATGCAGCTTTCTACTGAGCGTGAGGCAGGGAAGTTAGGGGTTTGCGAGCCAGAGGCACTGGGGTGGGGGTGAGCCTCCTGTTTTTGTATGTGTGCTGGCAGGTGAATAGAGTCCAAACTGCAGGGTGTACGCGAAGATTCTTTGCTGCCAACGTTAAGAGTCTACGGGAAAACAGGGACTGCTGTGACTTGTGACAAGAGCTAGGCTTCGATGCTTGAAAACAAAGATACGTTTTGTGACTATTGTAAATATCCATCCACCCACGTATTCATCCATCCCTTCTTATCTAATTTTTATATGAATGAATACAACCATCGGCGCTCTCTTCGAGCGCCACTCACTCTCCTTTAAATATTACACCATTAGCGGTTCAGATTCTAAGTACTACAGCTTCAGGAGCCTCTGCTGCTACTCACCTTCTACTTTTTCCTGGCCCTGTGACCTTGAGTTGCTTCCCATTTCTGTGCCTTGGTTTCTCCAGCAGTAAAATGCGGAGTTGGAGTGGATTTTTTAAAAAAATTAATTGATAAGTATTTGGGATACATAATAATCACACTCACCTTGGGAATTGATATCTGTATATGATTTCTAAACCCTTTCAGCTGTGAGATAATGTAAGATACTTCCAGGTTTTTTTTTTCAGGCCCAAATACTAAATTTGCAAAATTTAAATATATATGGAAATAAGTCTTCCACGAACTGAGGACCACTTCTTCAAAATATCGAGGGGAAAAAAAGAAGAAAATATCCGGGGTAGCTTTTTAAAAAAAAAAATTAAATATTGTATCGTACGTAATAAAATAAAATGGGAGTGGTTTCATAAGATTGATTGGGAAGCAAGAAGAAAAAATTGGTATTTCTCTGGTCTTTGAAGAATGCTTCCACATTTTTATTTGCTTGAATTATAAATATTCGGAAGTTTGAGTGTCCTGCTATATTCATTCTCATAACTGCTTTACTGCATTTTCAAAATAGGCCTGTGATTTCCTTTACACTGTCTATAATTTTGATGATGGCTCTCCCAGAGCCCCTGACTTTGAGTTGCGTTCATATTATATGAAATCATCTACTGCGAACGACCTGCTCCATTGTTGTAGCTTTTAATCTTTTGTAAACCACGTTGAGGGTTTTGACTGTGATACGGTTTTGTAGTCTTTGCATGAAATGCATTAACATATTTTGAAATAGTAGAAGGATTTGGGGAGGGTTTTAGACCTGGTTTTTGATTAGGCAATTTAAAGGAAGTTTTCCTTCATCCAAGGATTTTGCAGGTAGCCTATGGTGTTCAGATGCCAGCTTACCAAGCTGTTTTACATCTGTTCTTTAGGTAGGGGGAGGTGTTTTATTAGTCAAGCTACTGTAATTGGTTTTTGCAGGGAAGGTTCCTTTCATTCAGATTATTTTACGTAACCTCAGCAAAGGTATCTTATTCTAGCCCATCATTTTATTTTCAGCATTCCAACTTTACCAGTTATTTTCTAAAATTCAGAGAGTAGGAAAGGAGCAAGAAAACAAAATAAGTTCCCTGAAACTGATTGGTGGTTCCATTCAACTCTCTGTACAACCATGGTCAAGTGCTTATGAACTTATTTTCTTCATTAATAGCAGAACACTGACATTTGGTATTCCGGGGCCCTGAAAGTAAAAATTCTGGAGTTACAACTGTGAATAGTAAGTTTATTTGATTGAAGCTAAAACTGTAAAAGCACCAGCTGGTTCTTGGATCACTAGATAGGTGCCAGGTTTGGAAACTTATTTAGGTTTATTGTATACATTCTTTCACCTAGAAAACACATTTGATATTAAATGCCTGGGATTTGAGGAAATAATGAAAACTTTAGAGAAAATTGTGCTGAATCTGAGAAACAGGCTATGGTAGTTTTTTTTTTTTTTGTGGAACTGGGGATCGAACTCAGGCCCTTATTCTACTGAGCCATCTCCCTGGCCAAAACCTTCCTTAATTAGGTGAAGTAATATTAGGAAATCTCCAGCATTGCAAAAGTAAGAACAATAAAATATCAACTTCTGTTGAATTTTTTTCTGGCATAGGAATATTTGAGTTGCCTGAAACTATATGCCTTATCTATTTTTGCTTTTGTTTTTGTGTAATGCTCGAGATTGAAACTAGGACCTTGCGTGTGCTAGGAAAACTCTTATTGAGCTATATGCCCAGCCCTATCCTTATCTGAATGAAATCAATCTTTCTTTCTTTTTTTGATCGGAACCAGGGATTGAACTCAGGCCCTTGCGCTTGCCAGGGAAGCGCTTATTCCACTGAGCCATTTCCCCGGCCCCCCTGAATGAAAGGTTTCTTATTTGCTGTCAACCCTGAGGTTTTTTCATTCAGTGTGGCACAAGCATGCAGGATAGATTGGAGTGGAGAGAGGCAACAAACTGCCAGTGAATAAACATTTCATTGTTTATTCTGTAAGGATTTTAATTTTCGTCATTTTAGAATTTGAGAACCACTACTGCTTGTCATCCACATTCAGAAGGCTCGAAGGAAATATTTTAAGGGTTTCACAGGTACGAAGGGATAGATGTTGAAGGTAAATATATTTAACGTTATTCAGACTGAGTACATCTTTTTTTTTTTTTTTTTTTTTTCAGAGCTGGGGATTGAACTCAGGCCCCTGTGCTTGCCAGGCAAGCACTTATTCAACTGAGCTATCTCCCCAGCCCCAAGACTGACTACATCTTAAGCCCAAGGGTTTTTTCCATTCCACATGGGCTATGTTTCTGGTTGCTGTGTTTCTGACTCTGGTGCCACCATTCTGATCTATCTCTCAGGGTAATATTTAAAATCTTTGAATTATATTGACTCTTCCTTCTCCTTGAATTACCTTGTGCCCATCTTTCCTAGACCCATGGCATCACTGTCTTTTGAAAATTCTTTTCCATTTTCTTCATTCCTGTTTGGCACTACTCTGGTTTGGGTTGCCATCATCTTCTGCTTGAATTATTGGCAGTTTGTTGCCTCTATCCACTCTAGTCTGTTCTGTATGCTTGTGCCAAACTAATTTTCTTTAAACACAGTTTAATTATGTCACTCTCCTGCTGCTAACCTGCACTGGATCTTAATTAGCTCTAAGTTTCTATGCTGCCTTCTTCCAACTTCAGGGTTCAAGGACTTCTTTTTTGTTTTTTGGCAGAACTGGGGATTGAACTCAGACCCTTGCGCTTTCCAGGGAAGCGCTCATTCTACTGAGCCATCTCCCTGGCACCTCAAGGAGTTCTTGTACTTACCGAGTGTACCCCTTCCTTTTGTACCTTCCACAGCCTTCTCTTCCAGCCTGCTTGTAGATCTTGCCTGTCAGGCAGCCCTTTTATCTTCAGTATGGTCTCTTTCTATCCTTTGACTTGCTCACACTGTAATGTATTTAATCTTTCTGATTTGTTGAAATAAGACAAAAGTTATCTAATAGTTCCTTTGGCTATTATGTAATTTTTCCCTTGTCCTCCAAATTTTGTAAGGCTAGCTATATTAACTGTATTTATTTCCTCTGATCTAGATTCTTTTTGACTCTTTTATATTTATTTATTTGGCGGAACCGGGGATTGAACTCAGGCCCTTGCGCTTGCCAGACAAGCACTTATTGTACTAGCTATCTCTCCTGCCCTGATCTAGATTCTTTTGTTTTTTTGTGGAACTGAGGATTGAACTCAGGACCCTGTGCTTGTCAGGCAAGCACTTATTCACTTATTCTACTGAGCTATCTCCCTAGCCCCCCTGATCTAGATTCTTGAACTTCAACCACAGAGGGTTTCACCTTCAAACAATGGTTTTGAAGTTACCATTATCTTGATTGCTAAGTCAGTGGACATTTTTCATTCTTTATCTTTCTATCCTCCATACTGCATTTGACACTTCCGACTCTCTCTTCCTTGGAGACTTCTACTCCAGGGTGTCACAAACACCCAGGCCTTCAGAAGTAAGATAAGTTACAGTTGGTGCAGCTCAAGTAGGATAGGATCTTAGTTGAACTGTTTTGGGATAAGAAAGAGTTAATGTGGAGACTGCAGGGCATGTCTGATGAGGAAAAAGGAAATGGGGTAGCATAACCAAGAACACTTGGTACTCAAGGACGCCCTGTTTTGGCGTTCTTGCTCCCAGATACCTAGCAGGTTCTCACATATGGTATATCCTGAACATTAATCTTGGACATATATGGTGGGATCTTGTTATGTTCACCTAAAGTAACCCAAAGGCTGAGACTCAAGATAAATAAAAATAAAGACCAAAGAAAGGGCAGCAGCCTTTTTGCTCTAGCCCTTACTTTGCTTACATTAAGTGGCTGTGTGTCTTTGTGATCAGTGCCCCAGTGAGTCTTTCCCAGCAGAACTGGAAGGCATATGTCTTACTTAAAGGTGCTCAGGGCCAGGGAGATGGCTCAGTGGAGTAAGCGCTTCCCTGGCAAGCACAAGGTCCTGAGTTCAATCCCCGGTCCCCCCCCCAAAAAAAAAGCTTTATTTGGGGGCCCTGGCCCTAGCTCAGTTCTTTAAGTGGCTGCTTCCACAAAGCTGTCAACCTCAGGTTGCTGTAGTTAGATCCCCACAACACTCCAGCCAGCCAAACCTGCTCTGAAGGCATTCGGAGCAAAACAACAACAACAACAACAACAACAACAACAACAACAACAACAACAACAGCAACAACAAAACCTTATTAAAGGTGCTCAAATTCTGATTAAAAGAAAATATTTGGCCAGCCCAAAACTTGACTCTCCTGATTCTCCTTGTACTTCTCAGGCTATTTCTTAACCTCATTCAATGGGCTCCTCTTCCTTTCTTGTCTCTTAAAAGTACCAGTGATCTCCAGA